CTAACTCACCTTGAATTTCATTTATGTCTAGAAGCTGCCAAACTTGGGATTAGTTAATTAATTACATTGACCAGTATTATCGATATATCGATGAGAATATCAGAGCAAACCCCTGAAGAGTTGAGCTGTAACAGCGTTTTACAATCCCTCTAACTGGAAGTGGTGTAAAAAAGACCATCTGAGAGTTCACCTCCTGGGTGTTTTGATGCAGCCATCAGGTGAGAGAGTCTCATTCTGTCATGTTTCAGCCTCATCAGAGGGCTGTTTCTGGCCTGAGAGGGCTGTTGTCTCCGCAGGTGTGCGACTCTCAGCTCTGCCATTATAGGAAAGTCCGTAATAAAAAGTGTTGCTTCCTGCCATACGTTACTGCTGCTAGCTGCCCGGCTATTTCACATCATCAGCCCTGGTCGTGATGTGCATCTTCGGCTGCGGAAAATTATGATTAACTTCTAAAAACGGTGAAAATGAAGTCTCTCGTCAGCACTGCCACACTTGAGGGACTAAATCAGAATCTATGACTTCCTCCTGCATGTCTGATTCTCCTTCTTCACCTGGTGTGTGAGCTAGTCCCAATTGAAGGACACTTTCTCGTAAAGCCTCAGTCTGATAAAAATACTGTACCACTACATACAATATACAGCAGGCCAACCTAATTACAAAGGAAGCACATGTTGCCTAGTAACAGTATCTCCAGAAAGCTTTGTTGCACCTCAATTTGCATCCAAAAAAGATAGCTGGATGCCTACAGTATATCCCGTCATGTTCACACACACATGCACACACGTTCATGTACACACTTCCCCACACATGAATATACATAGCCACACGTCTGACACTCTTCAGATGATTCAGAGGCTGTTTTCTGCTTGACTTGGTATGCAAAACAAGAACATGGTGCCACGTTTTAAAAACAATGAGCCTATCTAACATCTGGCATCATTTTGTGAGTGCCAAGAAATATTGCCTCTTCAATTATTGGCGTAGTAACACAGAGGGAGTAAAGAAATGTGTCATTCAATGTGAAATGTTTGCCAAACAGGCTAACTATTTGCCTTAAATGAGCTGGTGGGGTTCTGTGGAGCTTGACAGCTGTAAGGGCATATTGGAAGACATTTAACCTTCCTAACAATTGACAAGATGAACGTTTGACAAGCTGAAAGAGTCAACAGTGAGATAGAAAATAAAAGGGGAGTGAGAGAGAAAAAGTGTGTGTGTGTGTGTGTCCAGGCCTCGTGAGTTTTGTCCTGTATGTTTTTGCCTTTGTCTGTGAGAGTGCTCAGAGCAGCACAGTGATTGGCGTGTCCTCTACGCTTGATTGATTTGAAAATATAGAAAAGATGTCGCCCGTATGAAAGCTACCAATTTATAAGCCTTCATCTCGAAACTTCAGAGAGACGCCTGTGCCATCAAAATCAGAGCAGGAGTTTGTAGCTACCAATGGTTCAGAAGTAGAAAAGCCCCGGCAAGCAAAGTGACACCTCGCTAAAGGCTGCCTGCTAGCTCCATGAAACCCTCTCCCTTTTTATTCTTTCGCTGTCTCTTTTTTTTTTTTTTGTCCCTTTCCCTCTGACTTTGTCTCTTTACTTGTCTCTTTCTCTATTTGTCAACCTTTGTCTAGTGTTTCAGTCTATTTCTCTTTGCTCTGCGTCTTTCTCTTTATTCTGTAAGGCTGTGATGAGACACTCTGGCAGTTAACTTGTCCCACAGCTCGCTGTCAAAGGAATGACCTTGATGTAGCTCACATACGGTTTGAGTTTGCTGCTACGTTTCAGTGTGTGGCTCTTTGCATATTCCTGTTTGTGTGTGTGTGTTTCTGTGTGTCTGTAATCACTGAATTGTAAAACCATGTGTGAGTGCGTTATCATCTGGGGGAAGCTTCTCCATTTTTCCCCCTTATCCCACGTGGTGATAATTCTGTTTGGGAACGACAGCACTGTAACACGTCAAGAGATGGGCAGGGGAGAGGCACAGGGAGGTACCATTTAGATAAAAACAAATTGCCAGCTGCCGAGCAGGAGCAGCCACAGCTTAGAAAAAAAACCCCAAAGGGATTGTGTGAATTAGTGTGCATGTGCTGAAGATTGTGTGCATTTTTATATTTGTGACTGTGACTGCCTTTTCCTTAGCCTGTAGTTCAGGCCTTCCAGGCAGTCTCCTTCCATAAGAAGTCACAGAGCTATTTTCTGTGGCCTATAACTATAATGCTGTGATGGGACAAGCAGCAGTAATTAAAATCAATAGCCGGGACTTTTCCAGTCTCCGGCAAGGTCACACACTGCCCAGTAGAGAGGAAGAGAAGGAAAAACAGAGAGAAGTGGGATTGCGCGGATGGGCAGAGCCAAACAGGGAAATATGTAAAGAGGTGAGGTGTCATCTTATTTTAATTAACCTGCACCTCGGAGGGCTGGCACCAGGGTAATGCACCAGTGTGTGTGTGTGTGGGTGTCGGTTGTGCGTCTATGAGTGTGTCACGTGGAGGTTTATTTTGTCCTTGCCGGTCACTTTTATTCACAGTATGAATACTTGAAATCCATGCGGTTTTAGAAATAATATTCATGCTCCATTGGGGAGGGCGGGGGGAATTAACCATTTTTTTCTTGTTTTTGTCTTCCACTTCTTTGTCCATCTTTACATGCTGTAAGACAAGGCTGGTAAGCTGGCTCCAGTGGGAAGGCTGGGTGTGGTATAGCTAGCCACTGGCCGCATTAGTATTCTGCTGAGATAGCCACATGCAGATACATTCCCCTTTCTCCTCCTCTGAAGGAATAATCAGCCCTGCCTTTCTCTTCCTTCTTCCCGTCTGTCTGTGAGAGGCCAAGTCATTTAGCTTTTTGTTTTACCAGGTACCTGCAGGGACATCTTCAAGTGTTTGAAAATGCATGCAAGTGTGTTCACTGTGCATTTCTATGCAAGTCTGAAAAACCAACGTATTAGGCGTCTGAGCAAACACATAAAACTCTTGTCTCCTTCCTGTCCTCCCTCTTCAGAGGTGAGTCAGAGAGAGAAGTTCACTCCGTCAGAGTTAGCGCAGAGCTGTCTGTCCTGTTTGTTGATTATCAGATCCTGTTCCTATCACAGCCCTGATAGCATCTCCATCTGATCTGTTGCCAGAGACGCTAGCTCAGTAGCCAGGCCCACCATCACACAGTCGCTACGCTGCTAGCCGCCACCCCTTCCCATATATCTCCGTATCAGGCCCAGATCTGCCATCACCCTGCTCTCTCATCTTCTCCTTATCTCCTTATTCCACCTTTCTCCCTGCTCCCAACACCCCAAACCTACCAGTCACTCATCGTCCTCATCTTCTTCCTCCTTTTATCCTCCTCTCTCAGAGCGTCTGCCAGAGCTCCTATGGCAGCGCCGTTGTTCCCCCTGCTTGGTTTTCTTCGCGTAAACTGTCAAGGCGGAGTCAGTGAGTGACAGGACAAGACAGGAGAGATTCAGAGAAGGCCAGAAAAAAGGAAAGGTGGAGAAAGAGGAAGAAGAGAAAGGAGGCAAATAAAGTCACTTGCATGCATACAATATCCTTCTGACCGCGTCTCAGTGGTGAGGGACAAAAGAGAAAACAGAGGAAGACAAAGACAGACAGGCAAAGAGTGTGAAAAGAAAACATGTTGAGTAAGCAGAGAGGTTCTGTAGACTGCAGCAGTACTGTCCCGTCCCCCATCGATCGTCCATGAGGTGCATGGATCTGTCAGCTTTATTTCACCTAGGGCCCAGCATGCAACATGCAACACGCAATTCAGCAAAGTACACAAACACAGCACACAACGAAGAAGACACAGAAAAGACAACCCTAAGCACGCAGAACATTACAAACACCATACAATGCTCAACACAACATGAAATATGACATACTGATCCACATTAGATGCTTACTCATTCCTCACTCTATATAATTTTTTTTAAATTGCTCACTACAACTTGAGACTTGAGCAAAAAAGCAAACACATTTTATGCTGCAATTCTAAATTACCCATCATGCAAAACACACATTGTGCTATGGTGTCGTAGTCGTCATGCTTAAAATCTTTTGTATTCGCTTGGAAATTGCTGCCTTTTAAAATGCAACGCTGAAAACACCAGGTGGCCACATTTCTCAGTTTCCTGATAAATTAGAAGCAAGGGTCAAAATGTGAGCTCTTCTGTTTTTGGAGATGAATGTGTGGAAAGCAAAGAAAAAGAGACGAATGAGGAGAGCAAATGAATGACATACAACTAATTTTGATGCAGGAACATAGTTAATGTTTTCCTGTCATTCTTCACTTCTTCAAAATTGGTTAGAGTTGATTATCATTTACCACAGGTCATTTTTGTTGCTTACTTACAGCCTTTTAGTTTTGAAGAGAAACAAACAAATTATGAATATAAAGTTATGTTTGAAATCTCAAGTAATGAAGTCAATTTGCCTTTAATTTATCAAGTTAGCTGACAATTTATCAATTTAATTTCATTGTTTTGTTGTTCACATAAATTTTCATTGTAAATCTATCAGCTATATTTTGCCGTGTTTGCTTTAAGTAATAAATGGCGATTGCGGTGTTTATGATAAATCTTGTTGTTGTTTTAAATCAGTCAAAAAAATAATCAATTTATTATGTGGTGGTTTGTTTTAATATTGACCCCTCATAAGTTAGGAACCTCTCAGACTTCCCAAGCAAGCTTGAGTACCAGGTGATTAATTTCTACTTCCTTCCTTTTTACTCCTTTTCCAGCTGAACTCAATATCTCTGGAAGACGACAGACTGACAACTTGATGCAACTTCTGCGTTATAATGTCTCAACTCTCTTTGTGTATAACTCATGAGTCACTGTTTCCTTGTCTGTCTTTACACTTTTTGCACTTTTTCTTTGCAAAATTTCTGTGCTCTCATTGTTCCTCATATCTTCACCAGATGCAGTTTGAACCCTTTTAGACCTCATGCCCTTAAATTAAAAGACCTGTCCTGTAAACGACCTCACTAATTTTTCTACAATGTGTTTATCTTTTGCTGTTGCAGGCAGAGGCTTCCGGCCAAAAACGTGTACTACTATCGTTGCCCTGACCACCGGCGCAACTATGTCATGTCCTTTGCCTTCTGTTTTGACCGAGAGGATGATGTTTACCAGTTTGCCTACTGCTACCCCTACACCTACTCCAGGCTGCAGCACTACCTGGCCAGCCTTGATCGTAGGAACCTGCCCTACCTGCAGAGGGAGCAACTGGGACTCAGTGTGGTGAGTTGGGAGGTGGAAAATGCTATGGGCGGGTGGAGAACACAGTGTGTGTGTGTGTGTGTGTGTGGGGTGGTTGTGGTTATGGCTGGAGCAGAGAAGTCGAATGGTGGTGAAGATTAGGGGTGGAAGGGTTATAAGTTGTAGTGTGTTTGTGTGTGTGTGTAGGTGTGTGGGCGTGTGTGTTCAGAAAAAGGAGACCCCGATTGGTAACTTAGGTGTGCCTGCTGGTCATAACTTCAGCCTCTCATGTTATTATTAGGATTGTTGCACTCTGAGATGACGGACTGTAAGCCTCTGGGTGTGTGTGTGTGTAAATGACTCCGTGTGTAATCAGCAGAGCTCTCACCTCGGCAGTAGGAGCTAGTGTATCATACACGCTGCCTCCAGTCTTGTCTGCTCTTATCAAATAATTGTAGGAGAAAAACTCATTAGAAATGCTTGAGAGATTACGACTTTTTCTTCTGTCCTCCAACATTTGTCAGAGAAAAGCTTGCTGCAAGGGGGGCACCATGAAAGTACAGGTATTTGTAAGGAGCACCTGACCATAAAATACAGAAAATTTAGAAACCATGGCATTAAAACGGCTGATGCTACGGTTAATAAAAACAAAGAGTAATACCTCTATAAATAAAGAATCTGGTGACCTACAGTAATACTAACAATAACAAAATTAAGTATTATTAGGTAATTGTGGTCATATTTTTAAAAGCAAATTCAGTGCGAAATTGTATTAAAAAGGAGAGAAACATGATTCACTTATTTACCTTCATTTAAAGTTATAATCCTTAAGATCTCAGTTTTGGTTGATTTGGTGACAACTGGTTTAACAGGAAGTGCGTCCCCAAAATTCTGTTGGAAATTACCATTTGGGATGCAAACCTTGAGAAGCTAATCAGAAATACAGAAATACAACAGACGTAGAACAACTGGTGTATCTGTTTACAACGCAGCCAACCAAACGCTTTTAATGTGAAGTAGGAAGTGTTCAGTTTGCATTAGCAGTAACTTAATACATCTCAGAGAGTGAGTAAACAAGTCAGTAAACAAGGAGGCATCTATCAAATAGATATAATTACAAACAGTAATGCTGAAACACATTCATGCATTGTGTCCTCTGAATCCCTTGTGCTTATAGAGGTGATTTGAAATCTGCCTTGGAATGGTGGACTCTGTCACTAACAACAAAAACTACTATAAAGAGAGTCAATATCTGAATGTAAACAACAACAAAAATGGGATTTAAATACAAAATAAAAGTTAATTTGTGTTGATTATTATTACTATTTACTATTTACCATTACTATTATCCATTATTTCACTGAATTGTTTATTACATACCTTTACATACATTCCTATATTTTGCATACCTGTTTAGTGTAAGTGTATAAATATATTCAATATCTAATTGTCTATTCTCAGTACCCTAATAACATAGAAGCACCTAGCCATATCAGTACGTGACAATATACAGTATCTGCTAGATTTGCACTAACTATGTACAGAACATACCAGGCACTACAACAGTATAATATTTTATTTGTTTGTCCAGTGAACAAATCAAGAATAGCATTTTATTGAGAAATTGGAATGGATGACTCCTCTGCAGTTTCCATACTTTGCAAAGTCATCCAGTGGGCTGCATTTGATCCTCTGGCGGGCCGGTTCTGGCCTGTGAGCCGTATGTTTAACATCTCGGATGTAAAATAAGGATTATAAATTTAAGTGTGACAACTATTAATCCAAAGTACACATTTTGATGTATGAACCCCCAAGGTTGTGAGCGAAGCAATATTAATTTGCTGTCAGTGCTAGCAGTCTGTTTCCCACTTCTGTTGTTAATACTTACAACTATACAACCTGTTGTCAATAGACAGCCAAATGAATAAAAATCAGCATGGAAAACAGCAGAGGAAAATATAAAATGACCCTATGGTTTGAAGACCAGGAAGTTAATGGTCAGCATGTCTCACTAATCTTTCCTCTCCATCTGTACTGCTACTGTGTTGTGTGTCACATAGTGTAAATATTAAACTTTACAATTCTGCCAGTGTAGCACACTATTTTTGCTTTATTTTTAAGCCACATCATTTGTCTGTGTGAGACAGAGGAGAACAGAGAGAGGACAGACTCGCTTGGTTTGGCTCACAGAGTCAGTATTAGTATTCATAGTCATAGAGAGGTTTTATGGCCGTATTTTTCTCTTTATGTTCTCTGGGCCTGGGTGGCAGACAGCCCAGCCCCACCCTCTCATATCTCTTTCTCTGTCTGCTCCCTCTCTTGCTCTTACCCTCTCTATCTCATGCACATATGCAACTCCGCACACACACACTAAGGTCAGAGGGGAAGGGATAAGAAGGGATGAGGAGAGCTTTCTGGCTGCATCAAAGTTTAAAGACGGATTGCTGCCGTTTCTAAGGTTCCGAGTCTTTGCAGGGACACCACAATAGCTTTAACCTTCTAATGGGTACAGTTATCTCATAAGGATGGAAATAAGAGCCAGGGCCATTTGCACTGGCATTCTTCTATCTTGCTGACTAATTTGTTTTCTGTAATGTATTCCTCTGAACAAAATCTCTGCCATCCAGCATGCACTGGTAGACTCAGATACTTAAAAAAAAAAAAGGTCGGCTCTTTTTAATTTTTACCTCCAGCTCTCTTCATCTTTATGAATGAGGTGTTTACTGATTTATAAGGCAGGTATTATTTTATTATCTTACTTACACCAAGATTAAATAAAGCAGAGTGAATTGAATTTAGTGTGTAAATTACATGACACCAGATTTAATTCACTTCAGCCATGCACTGTAAGAAGTCACTTTAATTGAGATAGGAAGATAGAGGGACAGAAACAGAGATGTAACCGTTCTGGGATGAATGAAAAGGGCAAGCCGGGAGGATCTGAATACAATTTTCAGATCAGCCTCTCAATTATTTCACTTTCACTCACACTCAAACTGCCGATTGAGACTTTACAATAAGAGTGGAATTCACCTGTTCAGGAAATTGCATTTCTGCATATCACAGTGAGTGGTAATTCCTAAAGTTTTTCACTGTTGATGATCTAGAAAGTGAAACAAGAATGATGTTTGATTATTGGTAGATTATATAGAGTTTTGTATTGGATACACAGCTATTGGTCCCAGTAAAGCCTGAAAACCCCACTAGTTTGCATACACAGTTATAGTCCTCACTTGGTCCTTCTTAATTTCATCTTAATTTTTCATCTTGGTTCTTCTTTAATTACATCTTAATTTTGTAACGCATTGGTCATCCAATCTTGTTTTTCTCATTAAAGAAATACTGACAAAATATGTTCATTACTGAGCTTCAGAGACACTGAATCCATTGTACATGCTTTTATTCCCTTACAGCATTGTTTTCCTAACTGCCACAAATCAGAAGATAATTCACAAGCTCCAAATTGACTACACACAAACAAAAGAAGAAAAGAGAAAGAGAATTATTTTTATGTCTTTACATTTGCTACCAACCTGTCAGCTGTTTCCATGTCAAGGTGACCAACGGTGACTGAGCTTTTGTTGTTAGGGCACCTGAACTCTGGAACGACCTGCCTGAGGAGATCAAATTAGTATCATCTTCACTTCCTAAAGGAATTGTTTGAGACTTTGGAAAATATGCCTATTTGCCTGCAGCAGAGAGTTAGATATGAGGAGATACTCTCATATCTGCCTGATAAATATAAGGCTACAGAAAGCCAGACTGGACACAGAGTCTGGCCTGGATCTGTCTGCTGGTTATAAAATACAGGTTATGTTAATTATTTCCCCTGTTTCCAGTCTAAGCTAAGCTAAGGTAAGGTAAGCTAACTGACTGCTGGCTGTAGCTTCATATTTAACAGACAGATAAAAGTGATACAAATCTTCATATCTAACTCTCGGCAAGAGAATAAACATATTTCTAAAATGTCGAACTATTGCTTTATAACTTACTTTTGTCAAAAGGTTTTTGTAACTTTATTTAATTTTGGTAATTTGTTTCCATGTGTGTATTTATGTGTGTATGTAAATTGGTAAATATATCATACATATATATGTAATATGTATATGTTTGTATGTGTGAATTGACAGATCACAGTAATAACCCACAAAGCCTAAAACACACAGGTCCTTAAAACACATACACACACTTGTGCATATTGTAGATACACACACGTCATCCACAAAGACAAATACTAGACAAATTTCTTGTATTCCCCAGAGGAGATGGGTTTGGATTCTTTCTATTCCTGCTCTGCTGGGTTCATGGCCCTGTGTCTGTTCCTCTAGTCCCTGTCTGTCTGAACATTTCCTTTTGTAGACCATCTTGACAGTATCTGAGTAAACTGCTCTCTCTTTCTCCCCCTGAGGCGTCCATGTCCACAGAGACACAGAGAAAGAGACAACATGCGTTTGACCTGCTACAATACTAACAAGCCTCTTTGAAAAGATGCGTACTGCTTCCTTCTTTCAAACTATTTCCTCATTTCTGTATGGTCCTCAAGTGTCCCCCAGCCATCTGGAGTTGAAAGCCCCTTATTTGCCCACCTTGCCTGTTGACAAAGCGTTTTTTCCTTTTTCTCACCAGTAGGCAGTGTCTGCCCGGGAGTTGCGGAGGCAGCAGTTTGAGTTTTCCTTCTGCTGGCCCCGCTGGGGGAGGGCAGGGCTATGACACTATTAGTCACCTCTGACACAGCACAGCCTCTGCCTGTAGACCAGATGGAAGGAAAGTGTAAATGAGAGACCTCAGGGTGGTCGAGTGGACAGGTCACTGACCAGCCTGAAGGTTGTCTGAGACCTAGCATGCATGCAACTTAGAGGCCTGAATCCTTACTTACTATTATACTTTGATTCTGTTCACATACCCACATCAAGTAAAACTATTGATGTCAGAATCACAGCACAGGAATGTCACATCCAATCAGTTTTTTTTTTCTTTTGAAATCTCACAAATCAAAGCAAGATTATGATAGATCACTTAATGTGTTGAGGAGAGGCAGCGGT